TGGTTTAGAAGGCCCCCAGAGATCCTTGTTTTCCTTATTTTGCAATGATTCTGTATATGTGGGATGATCATGTTACTTTCAAATTGTTTGGCAAACTGGAGGACCAATAAAGCTTAATTGGGCTCCTGTGCAGATTCCCTTACATCTAACAATGCGGATGGCATTTACAATTCTTTCAGGAAAAGCATGTACAGAAAATTCTCCCTCCACAGTGTTTTCTGTTGCTGTAAGTTTTACAGGACCAGAATACCTCTGAAACCTGCAAAGCTTTGATTGAAATTGGCTGGTTAGTGCAGTAGTTATTAGCCAAGTGCTGACACATCTACCTGCAAGCAAGCACAGAGAGTGATTGTGAGAGCCCTATTACGCCATGAAATCAGGTTGAAATGTGAAGCTGATGCAGGAGCCTTTATGAGGCAATTTAACAAATGACCACTCTGGGGGGAGGGGGAGGGTGAACAGGAGGAGGTACATAAGGTTTTAATTATACTGATTATAGAGTGGATTTTTTAGTGCATTGCAGCCATAATTATGTGATAATAAGGCAATTCAAAGCCATCAGAAGCTCTTCTTAAAATTTTCTCATGTATTTTGTGTCACTGGTAAAGGAACTGGAATGTACGAGTGTATCTTATTCATTTATAGTGGTCATCACTGGTAAAACATTAAGGACCATAATATGCTCTAAGGACTCATTAAGTGGGATTAAAACAAGGCACAGATTAAAAGCATGAATTTTATGTGTAATTTTATTTTTGTATGCTTCAATGCTTCAATACCTGAAGGCAGAATGACAGCTGCAGACAATGAACTCATGCATGAATTTAGTGCTGATGATTTTTACTTACAGAAGGTAGAAAGCTTGGGGTTCTATTTGACCTCCTATATAACATTGCAGGAGTGTATGCACTCTAACAACTCTCAGAAAACAGGAGAATGGAACAAGAAATGTTAGTTAGATGTGTTTTTTCATAAAACTCCCTCTTTCAATAGTGACAAACAAATGGGAGGAGTGGGGAATTCCTTTGAGTCTCAGAGGTTGTTACAGATGATAATTAAAAGGGTGGGTCTGAACACTGAGGACATGCAAGAGGGAGCACATCAAGGAACAGCATCTTTGTTAGAGTGGAGAGTGAGGCATTCCACACCCAGTGGAGGTAGAAACTGCCTTTTTTCCCCATATCTTCTGCTGACCTAAGAAAGAATAAGTCAAGTCAAAGGAATCCCACRGAGACCAGTTAAACAAGTGAATGAAACACTGTGTGGATCTGCCTAAAGAAGTACAATGTATTAAAACAAAAATGACCAAGAGATCCAAGTTTATCTTTCTGCTGTGATCCTTGCTTTTCCCAATTCGTGCACTGCTTGCTTTCTCAGTGTGCATTTTTACAGTTTCATGCAAATTTATCCCCAGGGTTTCTGGACGAGAAATGTGTAGGTGGCCAGAGAGTGTTCATGGCAGAATTGGATAGAAATATTTGCTCATCTTTCATTTGCCTGCAATASGTCTTCCCTTCTGACAAAATATCAAAATGCTGCTGGTAAATAACAAATGGGATGCACTGGAGTTCAAGACTGCAAACAGTCTAAGGAAAAAATGTGTCACTCATGGCTGAAACAAGCTAAAGCTGTTAAAATGCTTTTCAAGCTTCTCCTGCCTTCCTCTGCACACAKGAATTAAGAGGAATCATCCAAGAGAAGTCACTGGAATTTGATTATTGCAGATGATTTGCCTTATTGCAGCTGATTTGATGAGTAGGGTGGAGGACGGTGGGAGTAAGCCCTCGAAGCACATGTTAAAATAGATTATTTGTCCATTCAGTGTCTTGGGGTCTTCTGCTGTCACATCTTACCGCTGATGGCTTTTGCCTGTCTCTGAGATGGAGGGTGATGAGGTTCTATGACTGTTTCCAGATTGAACAAAATTCAGTTTGAGATCTCTACCCTTATTCCAGCTCAAAATGGTGAATGAAACATGCTGCCAGTGTGCTGCCTTTCCTCTGCCCTCTCTGGGGTGTTTATGCAGAGCTGGATCAGCATACTGCTGGGAATGGCAGCATGCAGACAGCTCTGTCCCCCACTACTTTCTTTTGTTTTTTGGGGTTTTTTTTTTGTATTTTTATATGTCTGTTTTTAATTATCAGCCTATAGGAAAAAGCTGCAAGCAAAGTAGTTTTTCCCTTGGTTTCYTAAAGTCCCTGGTGCCACCTGTTTGTAGTGCATGGTGTACTAATGCTGGATGCAAGGCTCCAGCAGCTGGGGTAAGGTGGCATTTTAATAATTCATGCATGGTCTGTTTGTCAGAGCTGTTTTCTTACCAGCACACCAGCTTTTTCCTTGTGTGACAGCTGGAATGTTCCCTCCAGACTACGYTGTGCGCAGTCACTCCACACTGCTTTCTGAGCCCAGGCAGCAGATGTAAATGATCAAGGATGCATAAATCTTCAGCAGAAGGCAAGGCTGGTACTCARTGGAAAGATGAGCCACTGATCTTTGGATATCTTCCTGACACGTCCTGACACTGGCTATCTTAGCAGGTTCTGCAGCTTTTTCAAGTATATCAACTTTACAATTGGCTGATGGTTCTTGTAAATGAAGAASATTCTTGCCAGGGATCATTTCTGGTTAAAAGATTAAAGCACAAGGATGAAATTGAGAGGAAATCAATTTTGATTTCCAAGTCTTTAGACGCGTGAAAGATGTTTTCTTAGCTCTGGAGTCAGAAAAACTGTATCTGTGCTGATATGTGTTATGTTTGCTTCATCCAGCTGCTGAAGAAAAGAGGCTTCACTCCCTTTGAAGTTTACCCTTCTGAGCTCAGTGCTGGTACAAGTAACTGAAGTGGCAGCTTTGCCCTTTGAAGATGCCTCATTTCTGTCTCAGAGCTTCCTTCATTTTTTCCTTTGGAAGCTGTGGGAGTTAAGGGAATACAGAGCCAGTGTGAACTCAATATCAGTAAGGCTCTAAAGTCCTGGTAATAAAAACACTGTAATAAGCTGAGTGAACCAGTAGCATTATCATCATCAGGTTTCATCACTTCTATTCCTGACAGAAAACACTTCATTTTTTCAGGTCCCTCCGTGAAATGTTGTGGTGTTGAAAGTGACTCCCTCACCATGGCTACAGGGGGTTGTCTTGTAACTTAGCAGTGCCTTAGGTACATAAACCCAGATGCAGCAAACACCCCACAGCACCACACCAAATCCATAGGGACACTACAATTCCTCTAGCTCCTTAGAAATACGTATTCCTGGGACCATTTCATCATATATTTTACATTTTCCATTTACTTTTTTCTGTGTTCTTAATTAGCAATTAATTTTACAGCATCATTCTGACTTTTTGATTATTCAAACTTCTTTATTTAATACACTATAGACAGATAAGAAAAAAAWGTTTAAAAGTTTAGCCTCTCCCAGCCATTTTCATCATTAATTTCATCCATTTCTTATTTTTAATTGCTGCGTTATCTCTCTAGCTCCAGTCCTGCTCCAATATGTTAGGAGGGAAAAACTCATCCAGACTAACCTTCTGGTTTCTCCCAGCCCCTTTGGCTAACTCATTCTAGGGTTTTAATTGCATTTTTAATTAAGGCTGCTACAGCTATTGGCTTTGAGCCTTTTATCATGCACCGTATTTTTTTAGCATGCAAAGCAGCACACGCTGTTCAGCAGGGGCAGCCTCTCACTGAGGCAGAGGTACAAAGTGGAGCACATAACCTTACCTGCTTTAAGAGCCTGGGCAGGAATATGGACATCTTAGGTAATTTCTCAGCTTTCTCACATGTTTGTGTTTAATTTAGTAATTTCATCATTGTCTCAGTTCTCTGACTGTAAAATATCCTCTCTCTTAYCAGCTAGTGGCACAACTACTCAAAAATACTCAGCCTCCTTCTGCCTCAATCATACCATCATGATCCAGCAGATTCTTTGGCACACACCCTCTCACAGGCACCAATTAACCCCTGCCTCAGCACCAGCACTTCTGGTRTTTGCAGGATGGCTACCTTCTCTCATATGTGTCCTGAACCCCTGTATCAGCTCTTTTCCCATATCCCAGATCCATTATCCACTGCATAGAGCCCGAGAATGAATAGAGTGATGTGGCTGTCTGTGCCCACCTAAACCTTGCCCTTCCTCTGCACATTTGCACATCCTTTGTGTGACACAGSATAGGAGTGCATGCTCTCTGCTGTGGACAGAGAGAAAATCCATCCTGTCCCTGCTGAGTGCTGTGGTTGCACCACCTTAAGCAGAGCAGTCACACACCATTAATGCCCAGCTAGTGTGGAGGATGCTTTCCTAGCTGTGGGTTCAGTGATCTGCTATTACTGCCCTGTACATGACTCATCTCTGTGACCTTGTGTTAACATAAAATCCAGACYGCTGGCTAATAGGAGTTGTGTTTAAACAGTTGTAAGGGAGCACCCTTGACACTGCAGTCATTAAAAACAGCATTATTTCATTTCCAAGAGTGTGCAGACTTTGCTTTCATATCCTAGCCAAATGCTAACTGGTTATCTATCCAAAGTCTTACTTTTTGTGTCTCAGAGGGGTTTCTTTCATTTTTTCTAGCAACCACAGTTTTGCTCTCTACCCTARACCCCACTGGATTGCTCACATGCTCTTATAGTGCCACATAGAATGGAGGTGTATTTGTATACTGGAAAACATTYTGAGAAGAAAGGACTGCATATAATATTCAAATATAAGGACATATCATATTAGTAACTGGTATATTCTTCCAACTGTTCTGCATGCTCATAAAATGCTCTGAGTTTCTCTGATGCAATGTGAGCTGTSAGAAGAGTCGCTGCTTACACAGTGATAAATCGCAATCACAAATGAACCTGAGGTGTCATAATTGCTCTGCCTCCAGATGCAGCAGATTTCACCATGCATTAGAAAAGCATAACCAGCAATAAAACTGCAGGGTAATTAGYTCAGTAAAAGCAGGGTGGACTTCTTGTAAAACAAGCTAACATACCTCATTTTTTTCAGCTCCCTCAGGAAAATATCTTCAGGAAGAAATTAATTACCTAAATTTCTGACAGGCAGGAGTTTCTAACAGCCRCTGACCCAGGAGCTGACTCAAGCACAACATTTAGGGAACTGGTATCAGATCAGCCCTTCCCATGATGAAGCCACTGGTTCTGAGGAACAACTGATAAGTTGGAGCTCACAGTTTRCCCTGCCCAGTGGGGACAATCCCAGCGATGAGAAATGGAGCAGCTGCACAGAAGAATTCTAGGAATAATTAATAAATACCTTTCAAAAATTTATTAGCACTTTAAAGTTAGTTTCCAGACAAAACCTACTCACACTGATTTAGCACCCAGCAAGGTTTATTCCTATGGATCTAGCTATCAGAAGATGTTTGTCCAAATAAAGTGTCARTTATTTGGCAAGTCCCAAATACCAGCTTTTCAGTCACTGTTGTTATTCCTTGGAGCCATTATACTCACAGGCATCTYATGAACAAAGGGACATTTTTCTCAGATGGAAAGAGTTTCAAAGCCCAAACTTCCTTCCAAAAGACTTTTTTYCAGGCAGCAGAATATCAGGATACAAAATGTAAGCGAGGCTTACCTGTTCATCATAGCTACTTCTCCCCAGATTGTRTACACAATCACTGGAAACGAAGAGTAGCTCCATGCTGAATGAATAATGCTCAGTCACTGCTACAAACTGACAGATGCTCTCAGTGTTTTGGCTCTTCAGACTTGATGCTGCAGAACAGAAACATATGAGTTGAGCAGGTCACAGGCAGACTTAATATCTCCTGACAGTTCATTTGAAGGTCTTACCAGGTCAGACACAAAAGTCCTCCAAAAATCACTACATTGATTCCACACTCAACCCTAACAATTACTGACATTCTGCTCAGCRGGAATCACAAATCACCAAGAATCACAAATCAGTCCTTGTGATGCTCTCCCAGATGGCAAATCTAGATGACAAGCAAATAGGTGTAGTTCTGGATGTAAAGAATATTCCTGCATTCTGAGCTGCTGGGGGAGGTAGATGACAGCAGTATTTGTAAGGAAAATTTGGGAGGTAATTGAAACAGTCAGGCTTAGTGATACTTAGAATTTTACCAAGTCACTTTCACAAGCTTTTACTGTGCAATTATTTGTAGTTCCCTGCTAATGATTCATTAATGTCATTAATTTCTTTATGAATCCTTGAGTTTCACTAAATTCACATATACTAGTTTTTTTCCAGCTTTSTCTTTTCTACCTTTTCTTGATAATCGAAACATTGTTTTCTAAGAATTTTTTTTTCTTTTGTTCCTTTTCATTACTTTTCCTTTGAAAAAGGGTTTAAAAGAACTATTTGATACAATGGTATTTATTAGAAAGTTATAACCCTTGCAGGCTTTTGAAGCACCCTGTGGAGTTTAAAGGAAAATTGCATCTTCAGTAGAATGTTAGAAGCCTCAAGAGTATAACTGTTAAGATGCTTATAATAGTTCAGGGGTTTTGATAGCRATTTTCAGTAGAACTTCCTGAATGTGTCCATAATTCTCCTACAACTTTAATAAGGCCTCTTGGGACAATCTCAACTCACTCTTTGTTGACGGATTTACTCTGTGCCATTTCCTTGAAAGTTCATAGCCTGAAGGCGAAATTGTTAAAATGTCCAAGACCCTTTACCTCTTTTGGGCACTATCAATGGGCCTTAGTAGGAGCATATAAGTAAAAAAAGGATATTAGCTACTTTTCTTTGTGTCTGGGAAGACACAAAATWTGTGTCTGAGAAGTGATGGGAAGGAACCACTTCTCTAATTTCAGTGRGTGTTGTCAGGCTGTTTCCAGAAAGGGAGCTTCCTYGCAATTWTTCAGCCTTTGAGTAATCCCTCTAAACCTCTCTTGGCTGCTTCATGKGCTTTGCATTTTCTTTGTTGATCTATTTTTAAATAACCGGACAGATACACTATAACAGTTCAATTTATTCTTCAATATTGATTTTTTAGGCTGGCACATGATTTGATCTCATGACTGCTTGCAGAGACAGCTCTTTGGGGTCAGGAYRTTTWGATAAAAGAAATTGCATTMTTTCACCAGCCACATGTCTATACGSCAGGAGGGCCAGTCAGGCTGGGTCACCTGGACTGCTTACACTGGAAATTATGGCTCTACTTCCATGGCAAGTAGTGAAAGTCCATGTGTATGTCCTAATTAGATTTGAAATATCTGAACTCAATATTGTATGGTACAAAAGGTGCCAAAATGGGAGATGATGCCTTACCTACCCAATATAAAAACTGTTCCTTTTTTAATTTTTATGTCAGAGTTTAAAGTTAACAGATTAATTAGGTTAAATTTCATGTAAAGTCAGAATTSATGTGGGCTGAGGTGTGATTTTTACAGTTAATTTCTGGCTAATAAGGGAAACAATTTCRTCTGAAAATCAGAGGTCCTGAAGGGAAAATATTTCCAATTGATTTAAACACAAATGCAACAATGGCTAAACACCTGAGAATGAGGTGTACCTGATAGAGGAGAGGGTCAGCTTTGCTCKTCTCAAGGATAGAGGCATCCACATCAGAACTGCAGGTGTGTCAAGCCATCTACATTGGTCTTATTTGCTCTGCTCAGTGCTGGCTGATGATCTGGCCTTGTGAAMATTTACCTCCCATTCCCTCCCTGTCACTACTCAGAGACTGATTTGGGGAGCATATCTGAGCTGTTCAAATTCTTGAAGTGGACTGGAAGGCAAGGAAGAAAGGATTATGGAGACTGCCAGCACTGCAGCAGCTACTGGAAGAGTGCACATCACCCAGGCACGTCASATGCAAGGTGGCCAGAGAACACCATGGGTTGCTTGTGTTCTCTACACTGTTCACACCCAACGTGCTGATATGGGATCAGTAGTTTATTTAGGAGCTACTTTTTATTCTATTCTACAGTATATTTTTCAGACAACTCTCAATTTGGAAACAGCCACCACAGATGGGCAAGTAAAAAACCTAACTTTATAAGTGATGGCATTATGGTAGGCAATTAAAAAACCCCAACAAGAGCAGGTCAGTTGGCTCATCTTTTCTGCAAAAGGACAGCTATATAAATATCTTTCATACTAATAGCATTTTTTAAATCTATATAGTAAAACTGTAGAATGAGAGAAAATATTACAATTGTTGAAATTCCACTGCTCTTTATGTTGAGTAAGTAGCATTTCATATACACAAGTATCACTTGGAAAATACAAAACAGAGACAAYTGTTATAAAACTTTGTAACATCCTTAGCTACAGATGAATAATTTTCCTTACAATCTTAAAACACCAGATACATAGACAAAAGCAAATGAAGACAAATTATGCTACAGGAATGAGACTGCATCAACTATTAGATTATCTTTTACAGCTGATATAAAGACATACTCTCCTGAAAGCATGCCACAGGGTCATAATTTTCAAAAGAGGAAGGCTATACTCTGGAACTATATATTTGTAAGGACTATGGTCTGCAGAAATGCTAAATTGCACTGAAAGAAGGGACATTTAAATCTAATTATAGACAGATTTTCTAACTCAGCAGACAATATAATTTCCTCTATAGTTTAGTGATGCTATTTTAAAAATAGCTTTCTTGATTATTCTATTTTCATAATCAGAACCATTACAATATAAAATGATGAGGTGAAAATGCAGTTTTCTTTAACAGAAGCAGAAGAAATATGTTTTGGCGAGTTTATTTGGGGGCCTGGAGGAGAGATCTTCTCTTGCTGCAAAGCATCACACCATTTGTCATCAATTTAATATATAAAAAAAAGTGCCTTGGGAGTAAAGTCACAAAAGTATATTTCACAGTTGTATGTAAAATGCTGTGATATATATTTTTCATAAATATTTAATGTTTTAGGATGGTTACATCCYGATTATCTTTTAGTCTGTACTTCCCAGAAGACAGGGAAGATTTATAAGATCCTGTGGTAAGAGCCTACTTTTTCTCCCAAAATAATATCGACCTATCTATCACAGAATATAAATGGGAATGTCTAAGCAGAAAGAAGCCTGTGGCTAAAAATTTTGAAGTGTCTGTCTTCAAGTACCAGAATTAGTATTTAGGGAATCAACCACAAGATTCTTGGCTTTTCTAAGCTGATGCAGGTTCTTTTGTGCAATGATCCTTCAGGTCTGTTGTCCCCTTTGCCTGTGGAAAATCACACACGAGCCACATAATGCCATATGCGGGAGGAGACAGCAAGCCAGCAGCTGCAGTGTCCCTGGCATATGTCACACATTTCCATCACAGCCTGGACACCATGGGAAGTCACTCAGGCCAGCTCTGCCTTGTCGCTGTTGAGAYGGACAGTGACACAAAATAATAGACACAAATAGACACACACAACTACAACTAACTTTATTAYGGGGCAGAGGCCCTTTTATCCTTTTAGCAACAAGTGTATACATTTGTGGCAAATACCTATTGGTTAATGAAGCAGCTGTTTAGCTATGATTGRTGGGTTTGCAGAAGCTGCAGTGTCATTAATGTTTTGAGTCTTTGGCCATCTGTGTTATCAGTTCAACATTCCATTCTCCTTTTCCCAGATGCAAGCAAGGTCGTGGTGTTTTGTGGCAGCATCCTCCTCCATGCAGGCTGTTAACACTCCCTTCTGTTTCCCAGGTCTCAGTCACACACCRTTATTAGCTGGATTTCAGAACCTGCGGGGGCCAAATGCTGGCTTTCGCTTCCACACTGCCTGCGGTGCTATTCTGGAAGGGAAGAACTGCACACCAATAGGATTTTCGATCCATTGACAGTTAAACTGAAAACGACTGTTCTCCAGTGGGGGATAACATTTGTTCAATCATTAGCAGTGGAGGGTGTCAGGTAGAAAGGGCTGATGGGGACTGGYATCAGAGCAGTTGGGGCATGGATGAGTTTTGGACATGCCTGTGTGCATACAAACATCCAGAAAATCCTGCAGAATTACTGACAGATAAAGAATGCGGCCCAGAGAAGCAGGAAGGTATGACCCTGACAAAGCTTTCTGGCAGAGGAGCTTGGAAATCAGACACCCCTTTTACATGCGGTAAAAAAATACACTTTTCCTGTGCTTTGAACAGAGACTTATTTGCTGGCAGCAAGCAACTGATTCCATCATTGCTTTCTCCTCCATGCAGTGCTTTAGTCACTGGGGATTAGGTTTAGGAATCAGGAAAGTCCTTCRTGAGATTTCAAAAATATTGCTATCAGCTACATGTCAATGCCGAATGATAGTAGTTGTCAGTAGGGGTTTGCTGGCACTCCTGACTATGTTATTAAATGCCTCTCCCCATCTCATGGTGACGGGGTTTCAGAAAGTGATCTTCCATTTC